ACTGCGAGAGAAGACCCTCCTACCCCTTTCATCAACCTCCTCCTCTGCAGAGGCCACATTTGGCCTTATTGCGGTAAGCAAATCGCCGCCCACACCCGCGTCTCCAGAACAGCGATACCGTCCCAGTAACCTGTGCTGGGGTGAAGATCCCACCAGTCGACTAGACTTCCTCACAGAAGTGCCCTCCTCCTCCTCCTGCGACCAGCAAGCAGACATACCCGAGCGTCTACCAGCCGAGGGCGGAGCGAACAAGGAGGATTCGGATGAAGAGCTTGAACACGAGAGGACCGTGCTGCATGAGGGCAGGGAACCCCAGACTCAACTGCGAACTGTTCCTCTCAGTCGTCAGGATGATACTGATGGCGTACTTGGCAGCCACAATGACTTTGACTTCGAGGGACTTGAGGGCGCCTCCGCATTCGATGATTCCAACTCCATGCTTCATCTGGAAGACGGTCCGGACAGCAGCAGTAACTCCAATCGACGTGATTCTCTCACCGCGCACTGTGAAGGCCCCGATGAGGGCATTGGCGAGGTGGACAACAGCAGCCCCAATTCGGCCTCGCATGCAACGATGCCCTCAGGGGGCGAGGGTGGAGGTCAGCTGATGGGTGGAGGTTTTTTGACGAAACGCCGGGGACCGCGAACCACAATAAAGGCCAAACAGTTGGACACTCTGAAGTCAGCCTTCTCCACCACGCCTAAACCAACACGACACATACGAGAACGGCTAGCCCAGGAGACTGGACTGTCAATGCGAGTGATTCAGGTAAGCGTTGCTTTACCTAAGCAAACAGTCGATGCGTGACCTGTGCGCTTATGACTGCGCTGTTGGGCCTCAGCTACGGTCGAGGTTAGTAGGGCCAGTATAAACGGAGATCGACCACTTGAAAGACGGAAGCTCACTGTCGTCCTACGAAAGCTACCGCACGTCCCATGTCCTATCAGTCGGCTTGGAGTGTGGTTGTGAGTAGTGCGTGCTCGGCGAGGAAAGAGGCGGTGAGACCTTTTTGGTCTAAAATAAATTTGGTGTGCTTGTGAGCCATCTTGACGTATTAAAAGTTGTCGTTTGAGGGGTGATTGTTGGTTGACGGGATTGAGAGCCGGGGTGCAAAGAACTGCGCTTACGGTGGTCTTATTTGGTTTGGTTCGTGTTATTTGAAGGAGCTCGTCCATCTCTGTGTAACTTACGAGCGATGAGGATAAAGTGTCTAGCCATCTAGTCCGACCAAGTTTATCTCAATCTATATAAACTTCCCCTTGGCATTAAAATAGGTGGGTATGTGGGGGGGAGCCTGTGGACAGTGCTGTGTATGACCACCTTACTAGAATTCCAGTCACTTCCACTACTTAACGCCTTGCATTCTTAAACTGACTCGATGTCATCCACCTCTGATTTCTAACGCTAACCTTAAACGCGACTACAAATATGGCATTAACCCTAAAACTGACTTTAAAATAATCCTAACCTTACGGCATGCTCGAAGCGCACAACTTCCACCCTAGCCTTGACCAATTTGAGCAACATCTATGCATGGTTGGGCGCTGCGGGTAACCCATATCACGATGCGCTTAAAGTCGTGGCTTAGAAGGCCGTCAGCTGACTGAATAATTCTATCCTCCGACCTTACGACGGAGAGTCATTTCGCAAGGACTCTTCACTGTGGCCTCTATGGCCTTCTTACCCAAATGGGATCCAAGCCGACCACTTTTTGGTTTTCATGAAGAAGTGGTGTATTTTTGGCGAGGCAGGTGCGTGTGTTTGGCACGTTTAGACGGGTTGGTGTTCACCGCGCCCTCGGTCTGCCTCTGGTTGTTCGGATGCAGTCTTGCCGCCGTTAACCTGGTGGGGCGGGGGCTGGGGATTAGGGATGAGAGTTTGCGGCAGATTCAGCGGAAGTCTGCTATCTCTATAAATTAGTTCAGGCGTAATTTAGTGTCCTACGTCCACCAGACTCTGGGGGCACGCAGTCGTTTGCTACACTTGAACTGCCAAGCTTCCACTAATGACAAAAAAACTGTCTTTCCCCGCGGTCGGTATGCACACTATCATATGCACATCTTATCTCCAAGTGTTCAGTAGCAAGCGATCCCTTTTAATGATGTGGTCAAAATATTTTCGTCGGAGGAACAAGCTGAACACTTGAAGTTTTTATCACACAATGACTCTTAATACTTGCTGCCTGACTGGAAACAACAGGTATTGCCTACGTTGGGTTTATCCCCAAAGTTCACTAATGCTATTGTCCGAACACCTGTGGACGCCTGGTGACAGGGCAGACGAGAAGACTTTCCGAGTGATATAGTCACTGACGCGGGAGCCAGATCAAGGCCTGACAGGCGTTATTGACGATAGACGTACCTTAAAAATGCCACACATGGTGGGAGGTGTGTTGGTCCGCCTAGGCACGGGTTCCCGCCGCGCAAGCAACTACGCCCAATCCCGTTCTCGATTCTGCCCTGACACCAAAGCGCGGGAGGAAGGAGAGCGTGATACACAAGTCTATAACCAATAGAAAACTATTCCAAGCGCATGTCACCGTCTCTGCTGTAAGGCACACGGCGGGCATCTTCGGAAACGACCGACGATTCTTCGGGTGTCGGCAGGGCAGATGGGAAGATTTAGGTCTTGTTTTTATGCGTTAGGGTTTCAGTGTGATTATTATAGGCATTTAAATGGCTTTTTGTGGTGTCAAAAGAGAGAGAGAGAGCTCAAAATATTTCGGTCAGTTTTAAGGGCATGCAGGTTTCTACACTATGTTTACCTGCTCCAGACTCCTGCTAGATTATTATGTCTCCGAAATCGTTTTTAGGAGCGTTCCTGTCTTTTGTCTGATTGCACACTCCTATGCAACATTAGACATCCTCATCGTATCCAACAGAGCTTCAGTACATAATGCGCGGGACTCGGATGCAATTTTGATTTCCTCCCGATTTTCCTGACTAGCTTGGTTTGTAACATCTCTCGAGCACCTGACCTTGGGGGGCGGGGGAAAAGGAGAGCTAAATTCGAAGGTACAGAAGGCCGGACTGAATGCAAGACTACCTCTGGCAATTTCGAAAGGGTGCAGTTCAAATATTTCAACTCTCATTTCTAGAGGACAGACAGAACCTACACGTACGAAGGTTGGGGGATACTGAGTAATACTGACAGGTAAATAATATGTATATGATTTGACCGAAACTATTCTATCTTTCGTGGCACAGCCCACCAAAACGTCTGAGTTCTCTAATGCCCCCGAAAAGAAGAGCCATTTTCAGAACTTAAATCTCGCTGGTGCTGTGTAAACCCACGGAACGGTTTGGGGGGTATGTCAGTAGATGGCATGGTACATGATTCTGTTCCCGGCCCTCCTCCTCTTTCTCCTTCTCCGTGTTCTCCCCCAACGAGCATTACAA